TGGACTCTTAGGGTCAGTAATAATGTACCTTATTTGCATCAAAACAATGTTTTTTGAAACACGAAGATGTTGTGGGTCCCGAGGTACACTGAACCCAGGTCACAGGTCAGGTTTTTGCTTGGCTAATCAAACAGTCTATCACAAAGACATACAAACTTATGAAGTTCTGTTGCATAATATATGCAGGTGCACCTCACTTGATACATCTTTACTTAATACTGTACAACTTTACTATTATGTTAAGACCCATTTCTACCACCCCTCTGCTCTGTGTGAGAAAATTAGCAACTATGTGACAGCCAAGATTAATGTGTGAAGCTCATGTGACCAGTGACAGCAGGTGTGAATTGTTAGGCAGTTGGGACCTGTAAAGTCTTGTGGGAGGTGAAGTGGTGAGTGAGCAGCCATGTGAGGTACAATGCTCAATCCCTCACTTAGTGTTACACTGTCCATTGTTGTATGAAGAGTTATGCTTCTTTCATTTAATCTAGTGTGTGGATTTGCCATTTCTGTTGACTGGCACAATGTCATCTCAGTGACTATGGCATCACTAACCCTCTATATACTGACAACCAGACCTGAGCAAAAATAGCTGTGGTTACATCTTCCTCTTGATGGTGAGTATCTCAGTAAATATTTGTACCTGTGCCCAGCATGTGGGTGGGCTAGCTGGTTGGGTAACTAGTGTGCTAGTTCATATTCTGATGCCATTATACAAGGTTGTTCCTTCACTCACTGCTGTTTTTGTATACAATTTGTGTTGTGCAGTTCTGTACATTACTGTACCAGGACACAATCAGCCAAGTATACAGAGTTAAGACTTAAAAAGTGATTACAGTTACGTATACTGTACTGTACAGTCAACAGAGTGGACAGTATGCCTACTGTAAACTAGTGTGTATATGTACAGTATAAAGTGCTTGTATAAGCCCTCCTTCATGGAGGGAGAGTAGAGTAACAGTTAGCAACACCAGCTACAGGACAAAGGCAGGTTATCCTATATTATATCACCATTTGGGCTGCCGGGAACACAAGCTCAAGACAATAGCATCTGCTGGTGAGTACAATAGAGAGTACTGCATACAGTAGTGTATTTTGTTGATTTACAATATACTGTAGAGTAGTTTTTGCATAAAGAAATAAAGTTCTGAGCCTGCCCATACATGATGTGCAGTTTAGACTATCGGAAAACTTTCTCCAGTACCTACTCAGAAAAATTCCGGGGATGTGCGAATTTTTCCAGGGATGACAAATTCATGTCAATAGAAATCTCTCATTCCCGGAGGAGCACTGCACCAATCACTGTGTGTGTATAAATACTGTACAGTAAAGAATCTGTCAATCAGATAAAAAGTAATTTTCTTTTGTTTAATTTTTCACATATCAAAGGAGAAACTCAACACTGGGGACATATTCCTGGACTGTGTCGATGAGTTTGTTACCTGGGTGATATGATCAGTGCTGGTGGGGTATTGAAGCCTGCTCTGTTGCAGGTCACAAATAACTGGAGGAAGTTAAGGGAGCTCCTGCCTTTATTAACAGCAAGAGGACCTTCCCTCCGAGTGAAAGGAAGAACAAGTGGCTGGTGTGAAAAGTGTTATGTTGTATGGCAGTGAAACATGGGCAGGTAGAGGATGACTTAAATAGATTTGAGTGAGATGAAACGAGAATGGTGAGGTGGATGTGTAATGTGACACTGAAAGACTAGAGCTAAGAGAGCAGTTGGGTATTGAAAGTACGTACTGGTGAAGTTCTGTGTAGAGGCGGACCGAGATGGTTTGGTTATGAGGAGGGAATGGATGAGATTGGGTTACGAGGTGTATGAATCTAAATGTGGAAGGGAGGAGAGCCGGGGTAAGCCAAAATTGTCAAGAAGAGAGATTGCAAGAACCTGACAAGAGAATGCAAAAGGCTATGCAGTATGGAGAACTGGCATCAGGTAACAGCAACTAACCCACACAAGAGTGGAACATGGCCCTAAAACAATGATGATGATAATTATACAGTACTGTACCAGCATTTCAGAGAATGCATCACCTGGCTGAAACAAGGGGAGCCTTTACAATACAAGGTTCAGTTAAGGATATCTTTCAGGAAAGAAATTACTGTCTGTGTTACCTAAACTTTAGTGTAGATTCAATTAAATTTACTTAAACATCTCATCAGCTTCTTGCTAGAAAGTTAACAAGGTTATAATTACAGCCTTGAAAGGTCTCTCAAAATATTAATAAACAAGACATTAAAAGGCACAATAACCTCCACCTGAGAACCAGTGTGTGTGGTGACCGCAGGACACACCAACAGCCAGGAGGGATACACAGCATGAAGCAATTCCTCAGGTATCATAAAACAAGGATGAATAAATACTGTCAATCAAAACAACAATCCTGATTTAACACAGGACGGTGAGCCTGTGAACCAAACTCCCGAGGCCACAAAAATAATTTACTCTAGTCACCTCAACACTAACAAGGGCCACCTGGCAAGGAACACTAGACTAGTAAAATCTCAGACAGGACACACAATATGTCATTCCAAGTTTAAGGGTGTGCTCGTAATGAAGAAAACCTCCCCCAAACTCGTATATGCTGTATGATAAATTTTGTAGTTGGGTGAAGTAACATCCAGCCGTTATCTTAGTTCAAGAAGACATAAGTGTAATGCATATAGGTGCTATTTAACCCTGAAGATATCTGTTCTTACTTCTACAAGTTGAGACCAATCTTTTACCTCATCCTTAGTACATTCACATCAAAATGGGGAAACAAAAATTCTTCTTTTCAAAATATTGAGGGATATTCCTTTGACATAATGTACAAGTTAAATGGACTTCAGACTTACATTATACAGTACAGTATTTGGAAAACTGGAAATCAAAACTATGAACAAAGAATGAGCATGCATGGTTTAATAAGTGCCACTATGTGTTATAACATATTTTGAGGATTTGGTATATATTAACTACCCCCCCCACACACACACACAAACTACGTCAACAGTAGTCAATTATGAAGGTAGGTAAAGCACACCAACACACCACTAAAGATACACTGACTGCTTCTGAAAGTATTTGATCCCTCCGGTTGAACCATCACTACATGTGGGTCTTTACACTGTCACCAGACTGTAATCACTGTCCATCTAAGTATTCCTTCAATGGCTTAAAAAGAAGGAAAAACTAAGAGCCATGTTCAGGGAAGGTGAGGGAGACTCAGGCCAGATGCTGCACTGGTTGCAACCCACCATCTTCTCTATTATCTCATACACGGTCATTATTCAAAAACCCCAGATGATTACTATAAATTAGTATGTACAATAAACAGGAAGCTATAGATCAGATCATATCACTGGGAAGAATATTGATTAAACTTTATTCCTACTGACTTTTTGGTTTCTGTTTATGTCCTAAAATATAGTAATCATTTAAGATTCTTGAATAAAATAATGACCCGGTACATTCTTTAAACTGTCTTGAAAGAGGCAGTAGCTAACATACAAACAGAGCAAATCCATTTTGTGTGGTTTTCTTAGTGTCAACTGCAGCAAGTCTCACATCTTTGTTACTTCATGATCCTCTGCTCCACCCAAGCCTCAAGACAGTCCTATACACATAAATCACCGACTGGGTTGCAAGCTTCCTCTCGGGTCAGACAAATGAACCACACATCAAACACTAGGACTCTTCCACAAGGTGGTTCTCTCCAACCTGTTCCTCCAAGACATCCCTCCATCCCCACAGTCATTTTCTCATCACGCACAGACAACAACAGCCTTTCAACATACCAAACACCAACCATTACCAAATAAACTGTACTCCAGCCATAACTACAAGATGGTACATAAATCAATTACTCAACTATACCTGCCAGACAGCATTCCTTTTCTAACTCACCATGACAATTATACACCCAATTAACAAGAAAGCGCACACACAAGTGAGCATATATTCCACTAACCCTAAGCAGACACCCACAAATCCTGACTCAATGAACAGGTCCTGCATCTGAATTTCACCCATCTCACCACATAAGCATCAACATAAACACCACCCATGGACTTAACAAATACACAGCCCTCACAAACACCACAAAATATTATACCTCTATCAGCCCAGTTACTTCAGCGTCACACAAAAGAATGATCTGAATGCTGTAACAAACTCCAAAAACTTCAGTCAACGTCAAGGAGAAATAGACTACCAAGACACAAGAGGTATAAACTCGACTCCCGGCATCAGGCTAACACTAGAGCCATCCTTGTATCTACACGCCTGACCATCCTCCTCCACAGAAACAATAAAAGGAATTAACCATAAACAGTGTTCTAAATCAAGAGTTTTTAACCATTCTTAACACCAAGACCTAGTTACCCATCAAGAGCACTGAGGCTGCCCCTCCACCAACCTCTGTACACATCCATATCACTGATCAACAAACTTACACCTTATCTCTCTTGATCTCACAATACCATCCATGAAAACTCTCACCACCACCACATCCTGGAGGTAGTTTTTCTTTAACTGGGAAGGAATAAATGTACTTCTTCCAAACAGTTTAAAAATTACTGTAGCTAACTCATTCATCCCATAAGTATAAGGCAACACTCGGTGGTTAAGGCATCATATACTCTTCACTGTTTCATTGCACTCATTAACACACAAATAGTCTTCATCTTCTTCACAACCTTTTCATTCAGGTCTTCTGATGCACACATCTGATACACTTGTGTAATTATATATTTACACACGCACACAATTAATATATACCATTTCCTAGACACAAATCTTATCCAGTTTATGCAGTAAGATATCAATATCCTCAACAATACTTTGAAAATAAGTGTATGGCCACTAAAGGTGTTAAAAAGGGAACACTGTACAGAATACATTATCTCTTCTCTCAGGTAAATCAAGACAATACTTTACTTCACTAAAGCTCATATGACAATTTAACACCTTTAGTGATGGCACCTTCAAAACAAAGGCTTAGATGAACACTCACCAACTGTTGTTGTTGTCTTTGTTGCTGTGGTTGTGACGCAGCAGCTACAGCTGCCGCCACAGCCCCAGAAAGCCCTTCCGCAAAACTTGCGGAATTATTTTCACTTTCCCAAGGGGCCATTCCACTCTGAATTAAAAACAGAAAAAATATTCTTAGCCATTTCATTCAATAACTCAGGTAAATTTGTATTCCCATTATGACAATGAGGACAGGATGCTACAATGAAGGAAAAGTTAAACAGAGAAATCCAGCAGACCGTCCATTATGTGAGCTATAGGTGGGAAGGGATGTCTGCATGAACCAAGTGATCAGATTATCAGGGGGAAATAACCCGTACAGTAATGTGAATACTGGAGCCCAAATACTTCCTCAATACTGTAATAATATTCATGTACAGTAGTGTGGCAGCATATAGTAATACCTTCCACTATAATGGAGAATGTTCTTGAAAGGTTAGGTTTATCTCCCCATTAGCCAGAATAATTGGTACATAGCATTTCCAGGTAAAGAAGAAATTCGCTTATCCCCGGAAAAATCACACATCTACAGAATATTTCTGGACATACCAAAATCCTGTTGGTACAGTACGGGAAAAAGTTTGCATAAATGGGGGCTGCTAGTGTGGTGGAATATGAGGTTAACTCAACGGTTTCCTCTGAGGAGCCAGCCTGTCGCCCCCACCATCTCTTTCCCCCTCATTACACCAGGATTTATCAGCAAATAATTCAAGTGATCTGTGCAAAAATAGGTTATCAAACTGTGAACAAACAGTGTCGCCCAAAGAAACACAAGCATCATTCACAATAACAATCACCAGTGAGCAGTGTATAGTACTAACCCGTGGGAGCTTTGCTGGTGATCCCCAGAAATAAGGACTGTAGTGGAGTTTATGACTAGATAAATATTGACAGATGTCCACCAGTGTACTACACCATGGAAATTTTGTTAGTGGCCCTCAAAGTGCTATCGTGACAAAGGCTGCCACTGACAACAACTTGTGTATATCTAAAACAAACACTGGCAGTGAAATACTGGAGGTGTACCTTGTTCAGTTTAAAGCAAGGGACCGGATATCCTAACAACAGTGTTATCATGCAACTAAAATTAGTACAGTAAATATATTTCTTGCTCAATATCATAGACAAGGGCATCTTATACAGGAGTCCATCTGGATCCTCACCTGCAATAAAAGACCAAAGAAACCACCACCTGACAGACCGTACCAATACACTGAAGTTCCCCGAATATGGTCAAGTCTTCCCTCCCCATCACTCTGCAACTCACCTCCCACGCTAACAGATTTGACGAGCTCCGCACCACAGTCAGGTTACTTGCTGCCAACGTTGTTGCCATCAGTGAGGCATGGCAAATTGCTCCTGAGACTTGCCACATTGAGGGATACCAACTCTTTCAACACCTCCATACACACGGGCATGGTGGGGATGTGGCCCTCTTGTCAGGATGAACTACATCTATTACGTCCATTGCACCTGGATGTTTTAGTCCCAGCTGATGTGGAGGCATTAAGAGTACATGTTGTACCATGAGCTCACCCCCACCACACTGCCTCTTATCATATACTATGTGGTATACCACCTGCATCACTCACCCACCAGAGACACTCTTATCCATCACATTCATTACCACCTCAGAGTTAGGTACCCATGTGCCAAGCTGATACTATGCAGGGATTTTGGCAAAACTGGCATCACTGATATTGAGGAGCAGTTGCTACTATCACAAGCCATTACTTCTCTACGTACAGTCAAAATACCCTAGACCTTATCTTAAACGACTTAGCGGACCAGTACCAACCACCTCAACCAAAGCCTATCGGGTGTAGCGCACACACACACACACACACACCTCTCGGTGTTCAGGCTTCCAACTCCCACCACATACACAGACCCCACATCAAGACCTACAGACCAATTACTGACTCTGCATTGCATCTCTTCGGGGAGCGGATAGTTCAGTATCCCTCGACTGAAGTACTAAGTATGGATGACGGAGACACCAAATGAACAAATTACATCAACACCACCACTTCTTCCCTGAGAAGTCCGCCAGAATACACCCAACTGACCTGCACTGGACCACACCTCGGATCAAGACTTGTGCCAGAGCCTTTTATCTCAACGAAAACAACCGCTACAGTGCCCTTTGCAATAGTCATCCATGAAATATGCACTGCAAGGAAATCTTACTTCTCAACCAAGCTGCAACACCTGAAGCAGACCAACTTGTCTCCCTGCTTATATACCTGTCCCCTCACCCACTGACTTCATGGAAGAACCTGAAGTACTAAGACAGCTGGACAAACTCAGGATCAATCACTCCTTGACCTACCAATACAGCTCTACAAGGAGTTCTCCCAGAACTAGCTAAATCCTTTTTCTCCATAATCAACACTTCCCTCAGCCAAGCAAGATGCCCAGCTGACTGGAAGACATCATATGTGTCACCAGAGCTCAAGTTAATGAGCACACAATCCTTAAATGAGTTACAACCTATTACCATCACCCCAATACTGAGCCGAGTATGTGAAAGTTTCATTTTGACTTGGCTTGTGCTGATATTATAAGCGCCATAGATCCTCAGCAATTTGGCAACATTAAAACTTCCTCCACTACCCACTGTCTCATCAGCTTTCTCGACTACATATACAGTACCGCCATTTGGAAAAACCCAAGACGTCTGTGGCTGTCGTCTTCGTTCACTTCACCAAGGCATTCGATTTGAGCCAAACAATTTAATCATCAACAAAATCATCAACCTCAGATTCGGAGAAGTCTTTTTCCATGGATTACTGACATCCTTAGTGACAGACACCAAGCCGTACACTTCTGAGGGGCTGGTTCCACCTTTCAGTTACTCACCTGTGGCATCCCCCAAGGTACCAACAAGGGACTGCTCTGCTTCCTTATCCACATCAATTATACTCTGAGGGAAACTCCTGCTCGTTGGAAATATTATCAACACCCAGTTGCCTTCTTAGCTCTAAACAAGGCCTCCTGTCTTTCACTGTCACATTACACATCCATCTCACCATTTGCATTTCACCTTTACTCAAGTCTACTTATGTCACCATCTTTAACTGACCATGTTTTACTGCCATACAACATAACCAGTTCCATGTTGTACAGTACATTCTTCTTTGCTGTCAATAAAGGTCTTCCTAAACTTCCTGCAGCCACTTCTGACTAGCATCTGAGCACGCTTCAGTACCCCACCAGCACTGATCATATCACCCAATAAACAGAACTTATTGACACAACATTTAAAAGTCATCAATATCCCAGTCTGCCATCTACTCCACTACACCTCTTGTGTACCCACCTTCCTCACTCGCTGCATATTACTGCCAACACCTTTCCTACAGACAACACTTGACCACTTCCCACCACCGGTCCCTCACCCACACCACTAATCAACACTTTTGTTTTGATCACTTTCACTCTGAGGCCCTTTTACTCTATTCCATCCTCCCATTTCTCCATTGCCCCTTCAATACTATCTGCCAGCATACAACAACTATCAAGACAGACCTGTCCTAAAGTACCACGATATTGCCTCCAGCACCACGATTAACAGAATGAAACTGAAGACAGGTGCCTGATGGACTACTACTTTTCCCTCACTTCCCTCACCATTTACTCTCAGAGGTTTTAGAGCCCTCATATAATGCCATAGCCACACGAACAAGGTACTCCTCGACTCGGCTTTCTCATTGGCCACTTTACAAGTTCATGCGGCACTGTCAAATGCCTTCTGTATCTCTACAAATATGAAGTACAATTTTTTCTCTGTTCCTAGACATTTCTCTTGTAGCTGCCTGGTCAAAATATTGCCTCTAATCATGTAGGTAATCTCCCTACCTGCTTTTTCTTTATGTCAATTCCCTCACCAATTACATGATCCCTCTTTCTACAACTTTCATAAACTGATTGAACAGCTTCACACCCCTGTAATTCACAAACACAGAGCACCATAATACACTTCCAAGATACACACACCATGTAATACACCTACCAAAGAAAATATTTTTAAGGATGGGTCTTTATAGTAATTACATCTGATAAAAACAATAAACACAATTAGTTTTTGTTAATTATATGCCTTGAAATACTGTACAGCACTGTAGGATTTGAATATTTTGAAAAACAAGGATAAAGGAAATGACGTCGCAATTGTGCTTACCGACCCTATTGAAACGACAGAGAGGTAGTGTTCATTTTGAAATCAATTGCTCCCAGGGGTAAAAAAGGGTAGTGCACGAGAGACAGAGACTGACGGCAGTGTTCGCACCATATAACTCAACAGGGGTCAAGCGCTGGATTATAGAATATATTTTACCTATTAGTTATGTTCATTATTGTGTACTGTCATTTAAGACATTCTAATTTTATTTACATATATCATAAAAGGGCAAACATGAATTGGCAGAACACAGTAACTGGGGAACACTAAAAAAAACATGCTATACAACACCTCTCCCCTGTCATAATAATAGTCAGCACAAAATAAATAGCTGTAAATAAAGCAACTATACAGTAGTATCCGACTGTTTAGGTCCATTCAAAGCCGCAATGGATTCTGTCTAAAGGTATCGTAACATCTTAGTATTGTCATTAAACATACAGATTTAGCAAGGACTCTAAGGTAGCTACTGTAGATTTAGCAAGGATTTTAAGGTACGGAATATAACAATTTGCACAAACATATATATTAAACAGCTGTAAAACTGTACAGTAGCTACATGATACAATACAGTATATAAAATACATGAGTAATGTAGAGTACTGTCAAATTGATGTATTCAACCAGTGTCAATACAGGCACCTCCTCTCCTCCTTACTCAGCTTATGTACACTGCTGCCTCCTCCTCCTCCTCCTCCCCACACCCGGCCACGCAGTGTTGCCACTGTTATTTTCCTGCCAAACCTAACAGTGCTGCCACATAATTAACAAAATGTCCAACTACTATCTACAGTATCTTAATTTAATGTTAGTTACCTTTGAATGTTTCTCACGTCACCATTTTGACTTGTACAGTGTGTATAGTTCCTCTCATCACACGAACATCTCTCTGACGTCTCTCAACAAACTCATGGTATTTTTTTTTTTTACCCAGTGGTGCTACTCCAATGAGGGTGCAGAAAGTGATGTCACTAGAACAGAAGGTGGAATTGATCGACCAACTTGCAAGTGGTGAAAGAGTCACTTCCGTCTCCTGGCAATTTCGAGTTAATGACTCGAATGTTCCGCCTTTTAGCCTCCAAGAATTCTAAACGTTTCCCTCTTGTCTCTTAACACATGGTGAGTTATGGAGACATCAGGGAGGTACAGGACAGTGACATAGGGTAACACTACATTACCCTATTTTTAGTTGTTCTAATAACGGGTCTGTATGACACACACCGAGTGGCTCATAGGGGTTTCACTCAGAAAGATGCACCGATTGGTTGCTCTGGCAGGTATGTCCTATATGAACATGTGAGTTGAGAGACCAGATAGGGATGCTTAGGATCTTATTACAGTACTTGTATTTATGTTGTATATATTTTTTTGTGATATAGGGAACCTGCATAGTACAGTACATGACCAAGCTAAGGAAAGTCCCCTGTATAGGTCCTCTGTACTGTACAAGTTAAACCTGTAAATAATGTTTGTAAGTCAGGTCTGGGGAGTTCAACAAATAATTCCCAGCTCATCCCTCAACCCAGACCCTCTCTTGTAACATTGACTCCCACCATCAAGAAATGAACAGCAGGTAACTTGATCCCTTTTTACATGTAACATTGTTATTGTTCTAGTAACCTCTGTAATGGGTAAAGAAAACAAATTAATCCACTAATCCATCAATGTGTACGGTTATACTTGACCTTCACCTCTGAAAATTATAAATTATCCACCAATTTTAAGAGGGATTACTACTACAACTTACATGAATCACTGTATACTTGGAGAGAATTAATAAATGTCTAAATAAAACGTATCACCAGAGAACACAGGTGGTCAAACAACTAGTGGTACAGCACTACTTCATACTCACATTCTGTAGGCCGGACGGTCCAGGGAAATCACTTGGGTTAAAATCACTCATAGCCACAGGCTCTTCTTTTTCTATAGTTGACTGAAGAAACTCTGGGAAGTCATTAGTGTTGCCCTCTGAGCTGTGAGGACCGTCCCCCTCTTCTCCCCCTCCACCATCATAACTATTACTTTGTACTGATAAGAAATCATCATTGGCAGATTGTTCAAAATTTTCTTGGTGTTCCACTTTAATGTGCACTGGAGGTTGGTCTGCTGCACTTATATCAGTCTGTGCTTCCTCAGGTTGTTCTCTAGGGTTACTAGCTTCACTCACACCGGGCTGGCGCCCCACATTTAGTTCTCGGTGGTCCGGACTGCCTGGTCCATCCCCGGGGGGTCTCCCAGGGCTGTGTTCGGTCCCGGCCGGAGTGACGCGCCGTTCCTCCGCCCTGCGCCTCTTTGCCGGAGGGCTGGTCTGTTCGGGACGTTGTCTACTCTGAGACACGCCACTTGTATTTGCACTACTAGTTCCACTCTTTTTGGGTTCTTCATCTGGCACAGCTAAACCCTTAATTCTCAAACACTCAGCTGCCTTGATGAGAGAAGAAAGTTCATTTTGTCTAACATTAACTTCACCAATGTACATATAGTCCAACAAAAACTCAAGGTCTTGACACTGAATGTCTTTTAGAACAATTACTGGGTTCTTGCATGGTGTGCGGTCAAATATATCACTAAAATATTCACTACACGTGGACAGAACCAACTTGTGGACGGGGTAAAACTTGCCCTCACATGCTAGTGTTACATCAGTGTAGGTCTCCTGAAAAGCAGAATACATAGATGTTACTTTGGTGCATGTATAGTGGTGCCTTAACAAACTGCACAATAACCATGGTGCCTTAACATACAATAATCATATAACTATACAAATAACACTAACAGTATCAACAACCTAACACCATCTTAGAAATGCTTCCACACTAACTCATATTATGGTACTTGCTAGATGATTCCCCCAGACAGTCTACACAGAAACACACAATAATAACACCACATTTAAACCACCAATCTTACATATTTGTAGCTTTAAATTTTTCACAATAATATAGTACAAACAGAGGACAAACTGCTCACTTCACCTCTTCCAAACCAAAGCCACAAAATGTCATCCCATTATTATTTAAGATATTTGAGGAGGGGTTTGGTAGAGGGTACAGTATTATACAGTATAACTAATTCATTCAGTATAGAGGTAGTACTGGAATCTGAGAAGCGGTTCAGTATATAAAAGTTCTGTATAGCCAGATAATATTGTACAGTGCTGTACGTATATCAATTTATCTATGTATATCAGGCATGGAGCTGAAGCCAGCTGAAGCTTTTGGAAGCCATGCTTTTTGGACTTGGTTTTGGCTTCAAAACTTTCTAAAGCAGTTGGCTTCAAAGCCGAAGGCTTGGCTTCATCCACATTCCTGATATATACATCAATCTATCTATTTACTGTATATATCAATGTATCTATCTATCTATACAGCACACACAATATATCAATGCATCTAAGATTCTTTTAAATGGTTGCCTTATAAAACTTTGTCAAAGTTTGTCAATTATCTGGCAGTAAATAGAAATGACTTGGGTTAGTTGATATATAATCAGCCACTGCTCAGTCTGGTCTCTATACCCCAGCTTCCTTCACTGTCACCTGGCCAGCTTACTCGTAGCCCAAGTAGCTATACTATATAGTACTGTGTTGTACACTACAGAATACATCGCCACACACAATACAAAGAAAATTTCATATCAATTGTAAATATTATACAGTAATATCCCCAAAAGCTGGAAGCTTTGATCCCATAATTTTCCAATACCTACAAAATTAAACAAATTCCCAAACATCTCTCCGCTCCGGGCATATGAATGAATTTATGAGTAATTGCATCATGTGCCAAACATGTGGGTAGGCTGGCTGTGTGGAGAACTTAGGTCGTAGGCTAAGTGCTTGTGCACTCTGATAGGCTACCATTGTCATGTGACCACACTGGATGCACATGATTGGCTGATGTATCCTGCAGTCTATCTCAAACTCTACCGTCATGACACGCTATTATTCCATTGCCTGCTTCCATTGTACAAGCTCTTGCTGCTGTTTTCAAATATGATCTGTCTTGCAGAGTACAGTACTGTACCAGGATACAGCCAGCCAAAAATATCATGAAAGTAGTGGAAATATGAAAAGTGATTTCTGTACATTTATGTGTACAGTACTTTACTGTACATACAGTATCACAAGATTAAGACATCATCTGCTGGTAAGTGCAATACAGTACAGTTTATAGTAGTATACAATGTTTATTTACAATACAGTATACCTGTATTCCAGTCTGCATAAATGATTACAGCTCTGTGACTGTCCGACTGCAGCCGGCCCAGGAAATACAGTAATGTACAAAAATAACTTCATTATTTCAAACTAAATGGAGTTCAAAACAGAAGGGGATTCTATTACTATTGTACTGAATAAACAGCAATATCCAAAACATATACAGTACAGTACAGTCTCGGTTTACGCGGTCAATTAAACCCGTGGAGGTCCGCATAAAACGAGAAACGCATAAACGAAATAACAGAACATATGTGATTAATTGAAATAGAGACTGGGCCGACCCTCAGACTACCCTTTTTCCGACACAATACGTAGGTTGTAGTAAAAATAACATCTTAATTTTATGATGGTTCCGAGGCAGAGGGCAGATTATTGGCCCTCACCTGTACCACTTGTATCACCTGTATCACTATCCACCACAAAGGCTTGCAGGGCCTCTTTGTCAAACCCCTCAAAGTCCATATCCTCACTATCACTGACTTGGGCTGGCTGTGGTGGGTGGCGGTTGAAGAACTCGGTAATGTTTTGTTGACTGGGCGACCTAGCGCGCACCCTGCCCGCGCCGCTTCCCGCGTAAATGATGGAATGTACCGCATAACTAATAATTGCCGGTCTGGCTCGGTGCCGCATAAATGACCAAACGCGTAAAGGAAATCCATGTAAATCGAGACTATACTGTGCAGGAGTAATGAAAAGAAAATGAGCAAAATAATACAAATTAGCAACAGTGTTCCGCGCCGTGTACCCTCTGACCTCCCCGTGTGCTCACCACACTGTAAACACAACAGTTGCGTAGTTTAGACTCGGAAACATTCACCGACGCCCTGAAAAATTCCACAAATGTGAAATTATTTCTGGAGATTAAGATTCACCTGAATATCCAAAAATCTCTTTAAGAAGGAAATGTTTTGCACCAAATATTGATGCCTTCAGGGATATTACTGCATAGTCTTCCTTTAAAATGTGTTACCAGAGGGAACTGTTACTGAGCCATAATGTAGAGTGGAGTTACCTTATTACGGAGACCACTAATGACATGGTAGAAAGTTGTGCGGTGATTGTTCCACTTCAGAGATAAAAGTTCGCCATCCATTTTGCTGGAAATAAAAGAAAAGTGTTTTCAATATTTTTTGCCAAGATAAAAAAGGTTAAATATATTCCATAGATACCACAATGAGGTGTTTATAGAAAGATCAAACACAAAACACCAAAAAAGTAGTTTAAAATTATGCATTCCACAGTTTAAAACATAACTACCATATACACAAACACACACCCCTCCACCGTAAAGTAATAATAATAAATAAACAAAGAACACTAAACTCCCCCTAATCCAGCCTCCCTTAATCCACATCACCTTGCAACCGAACTGGAGTCCAGCACCGGACACATGTATCCCCAACCCGGAAAAACGCAACCAAAATCCAGTTAATTTGGGGGAAAGTAGAAGTGTCTTAAGAAATGTGAATAGTGTACAGTACATATAGACAATGAAATTACCAGTGATAACATAGGTAATTATTTGGCTCTCGACTGTTGCTAGTTTGGTGGACAATTTTGGTTTCATTTTGCTCAAACTGGGGGCCATGGCAGGCTAGTGTAAGTAGTATATGTTTCAAAGTGCTGGGGAACGATCCCATGAAGCTGAAGCATCATATGACGACAATCCACCCCCAGTACGCGGAGACAGACCCTGATTTATTAAAAGGGCCATGAACAAGTCTGGGAAAAATGAGAATGGATGAGAGCGTTGCCTTCCAACCGGTCCAACTAATTACCCAAATGTAGCCAAATATAGCCGGAATGAAGTCAAATAATGGTCCTAGATGAATAAATCGGACTGCTAATCACTTCTCGACAAGTATTTGGTGTCAGAAAGTCACAAAAAATTGGTAAACTTAATTTAATCTGAGTTAATAGATCGCGCGCATGTACCGACGGAGCGAGGAATTACCCAAATGTAGCCGCAATGAAGTCAAATGATGGTCGTACAAGCGTAATTCGGGCTGTGAATCACTTCTCGATTATTATTTGGTGTCATAAAGTCACAAAAAATTGGTAAACTTAATTTAATCTGAGTTGTGTTGTGTTAGGTTAGGTTAGATTAGGTTCGATTAGGTTAGATTAGATTAGGTTAGGTACATGCACTTGATCTATTAACTCAGATTAAAGTAAGTTTTCCAATTTTTTGTGACTTTCTGACACCAAATACTAGTCGAGAAGTGATTAGCAGTCCGATTTATTCATCTAGGACCATTATTTGACTTCATTCCGGCTATATTTGGCTACATTTGGGTAATTAGTTGGACCGATAATATTTCACTCGGGTGATTATTTTATGGTGAAATAAGATGGGGGTGTTAAACTTCAGGTGATCCCTTATATCTGCTACGTTATTGTAAAGTAACAAATGCTTGAGGAGTGACAAACACATACACACAAACTTGGCTGAACATACAGACATACACCTGGCCACATACACCCTTGGCCACATACACCTGGCCACAAACACACGTATCTGGTCAGTGAAATTCACAAACCAGGTCGCACACGTACACTTGGCCACACACACACTTGGCCACACACACACACTTGGGCAGACACACACACTTGGCCACACACGCACCTGGCCATTATAAACAAGGGTCCCGGTAGTGAGAGCGTCGTGAGCGAATAAAGTGCGAGTGTATAAGCTTATATTACCTCCCTCACATCACCTCCACCTCGCACTTACACTCACACTCATCACTAACAATCACACTAGCTCCCCTTCACCAAAACACTGTTAATACCACCCAGTAGAGGACACACACCGGTAGTATATAAGGTCAACACATCAAGCGATAATCCGCCATTTTCAACACCGCTGGAGAGTTGTGACGTCACTCGCGTCTGTAGAGAGCGCCGGGTTATTGCCAATATCTTAATGGACGTTTGGGTTAAAACTTTTTGTTATAAATACAGTATACTATACTTATATTAACATTGTGAAACCAGTAATTTCGTGAAATCCCTGGAAATTTCAGTCATTTCTGGTAATAGCTGGTTCATTTATGGATTTCAAGAAATTACTAAAATATGTAGGAATTTCACGAAATTACTTAAATTCTTCATTATGTTTACAAGATGTTACTTTATGGTTTTAAACAGTGTGTTGAGACAACCCACATCAGTTATGACAGTACTGCCAGATCTATAGATTAATCTGAATTCTACAGTTCTTTACCTCATTTCAGTTTTCCGATTTTTCCCCATAATCGGCCAAATCTACCGATTGTTACCCGCAGGACTTTCAATTTTCTAAACTATCCCCAATTTTATCATTTAGTTGTGTTCACGCTCATATATAAAGCACAAGTCATTTTTATGGTACATTTTATATTTGTTTGGCATATGGGACATAAGGATTAGTTTTATTCAAATCGAATAGAATGTTTTACCGAGACATCCATATACAAACCTAATTCATTTAAAATATAAATTTTTTTGCAGATACAAATAATATTGACATGTGAAGAAACTACTAGAGCTAAGAAGCGTATCTACAGTTTGTATGTCTAATTTCTTTTTTTTTTTTACCTTTAATAGTAGTTCATGAGCTAAGAGGTGAATATTACATAGAAATAGTTTTTGTTGCCTGAGTAGTGTCTGCAGTACAAAATTAATGAGTAAATATTAGCATTATTTAAATAAGAAAATACCTATTTCACAATTATTTGTTTTGTTTCTATGTGTAATTGCTTTTTTGTTATCCACTTCTCAAGCATAAAATAAAATGAAACATCCTTAATTTTCTTTAACTTGTGCTTAAATTACTTCATTTTCATTTAAATTTCTTTAAATTGATGAAAAAACAAACATCTTACATTTGAAATAACATCGAAATTAACAAATGTTTTCTACAGATATTTTGTGGTGACTACAGATTTCTACGTTTTTTTTGTTCATGGAGTTTTTTTTTCAGATTCCTAAACTATTGTCCGGCAACACTGATGTATGCCTCTCTTCCTAATACAGTACAATATACATGAAACATCCAATTGTTGAAATAAGTCTGATTTATCGTTTCCTCCTAGTGGGTTTACCTACAATTTGTATAACACTATTTAATACAATTGTTTTTATCTTGTGTTTTGTTTTTGTTTTATTCGGTTAATAAACTGAATTAAATAAAATAAGATTAAAATTATTATTTCTGTATACTTAATAAACAGTTTTTTCAGTTTACCACAGTGAAGTGTTAACAAGTGCCACAACAAGTGCCACAGTGAAGTGTTAACAAGTGCCACAGTGAAGTGTTAACAAGTGCCACCAAGTGTTTCACTAACAAGTTGAATAACAAGTTGAATTTGAATTTTCCTAACTTTCCTTTAACTGACCACAATTTACTTGCCACTACACTTTGTTAAACAGTGTTTGACAGTGAAGTGTTAACAAGTGTTGTTACCAACGTGACACAACACCACAACAAGTGCCACAGTGAAGTGTTAACAAGTGCCACAGTGAAGTGTTAACAAGTGCCACAGTGAAGTGTTAACAAGTGCCACAGTGAAGTGTTAACAAGTGCCACAGTGAAGTGTTAACAAGTGCCACAGTGAAGTGTTAACAAGTGCCACAGTGAAGTGTTAACAAGTGCCACAGTGAAGTGTTAACAAGTGCCACAGTGAAGTGTCAACAAGTGCCACAGTGAAGTGTTAACAATTACCACAGTGAAGTGTTAGTAAGTGTCACAGTGAAGTGTTAACAAGTGTCACAGTGAAGTGTTAACAAGTGCCACAGTGAAGCGTCAACAAGTGCCACAGTGAAGTGTTAACAAGTGTCACAGTGAAGTGTTAACAAGTGCCACAGTGAAGCGTCAACAAGTGCCACAGTGAAGCGTCAACAAGTGCCACAGTGAAGCGTCAACAAGTACCACAGTGAAGTGTTAACAAGTGCCACAGTGAAGTGTTAGTAAGTGTCACAGTGAAGTGTTATAGTTGGTGAGGAAATATTAAATCAAGAGGTAAGCAGTGGTCAACACGGGTTGTATTTGTTGAGGATCTTGTGTTAATTATGAGGATGTACAGTGAGGATGTAGTAGCAAGTTATCTTAGCGGCCGTATTATCAAAATGTAGGTGTGGGGTACACAATTATCTCCTCAGGGGAAGGTGTGGGGACCCCTGCATTCTTCGAACGTACAATCAAAATTTAAATGATTGCCCCCTCGTTGGTGGTGCCCGCAGGGAGCTGTTGGTAGGTACAGTACGTCTGAAAGAAGGAAAGGTTAATATCTCACGGTCTTGCAGTTGGTATACGTGATGCTGGTGTGTTGATGTTTGAAGGCACAAATTGACAGCGCTTTCCAACATGACAACTCTGCGCTGTGGTTCAGTGACTTGAAAGGGAACGCAATTTATTGCCGTCTCTTATCAGTGGTAAACAAGGGACCAGAAGAGCCACTATTTCCCTATGAATCAGAAGAAAACTGAAACCTGGCAATGCAGCCTGCATGGGTGTACAGAAAACGGAGTAGCAACCCAGGAATACAGTTGTACTGCATTTCAAATGCACGCTACAATATACAAATTATGATTACCTCTATTATCAAGAGTAACTGGCAATAAATGTAATATCTTCTGTTTTTTATTTTTTTATTTATTAATAAAGTAACGCCCCGATAGTTTCACTGACACATTCTCATTATTTTGTCTCAAATTTTACTACAGCTCCACCTGTTACTGAAAGAGTGTATTACTCAAAGAGAACGTATTGGGTAAACTAAAACAAATGTTTTGCTCATAGTAAACGGATCCAAAACCGTTATTGTTTAATGAGTAACTATTTTTGTCATAGCTGGAGCCAATGAATTTACTATATTCCGTAATTATTGGCTCTACTTAACAATTAATTTGCTTGAAAACCTCCATCAGCTTCTACATAAGGTTTAACTTTCCTGGTAATTATTCCCAAACTCCGACAAACGATCGAGGCATCTATTTTTTTATTATGTCAGTTACAAAATATACTGTTACCTGAAAGACATTAACATCGAGATATTAAAGAGAAAACTGTAAAGACTACTGACTGTAACTCCCGTTTAAGATTTTGACAAAACCTTTTCAAGAGTCTATTCATAACTAAGACTCGATATCACAAAATATTTTACAACAGAAGACGTCAAATGAGACGATACTACAACATAACAATTTAGGTAAAAGGTATTTGCACTTTAATATCCGGTACAAACCCGAACCTCACCTCACTGATTCCAGCATTTAAATTCCTAAGATTCCCCAGGATGACCGAAACTAATATAATACCATTAGTTTGATGAATGCATTATTATTAAGTTATGACCCTTCCTACCCTGTTATTGACCTTGGTGGGCAGGGCTTCTAAGCATTGGGAAAATGTGTAATAAAAAACGTAACAAAACCTCCTAACCAGCTACTATGGTCATTATACTCACCCAATACTGGCATGCGATTTAGGTTTGTAAGTTGATGCTTGTGGAATAATAGCCCAATATCGTTTAAATAGTGAAATACATTAACAATTCCCTAATAATGTGTAATAAAGGTGAATGGTCTGGTACTTACTGTAGTTTGGACCAGGCTACTGAGGTATGGCTGCCAACGAACGTTACTTTTTGGAGCTGCGGTGTCCTCCCCCACAACCACAACACGGGAGCAATCCTTTACATACAACACCTTCAGACACACACTAGTCGCTCAATCCTCGGCCATTACTCCTCAGCAGCTCACACAAGGCTCATGAGTTTGTGCTGAGCATGTGCACACAGCCATCACAAACACCGGAATGAATCCACTGTGTCCAATTAGTCTCCCGTGTTGTGATCAAGGAATATCCAATGAGGAAATATAACTCCCGAAGAATAGTGTGATTCCAATTAGCAGGCTTTAGTTACTCTTTTTACGTCTTTGTTATATACTCTTTGGGCATTTATACTGGCTCCAGAATGTATCTGTACCTGCACCAGCAAGGAATATCTAATAAGGAAGCTCAACTGACACACATTCTCATTATTTTCAGAAAGGTACCAAAGTTTTTCTACAGCGCCACTTGTTACTGAGTGACTGTATTACTCAGAGACAGCCGAGTATTTGGCGTCACTCGTTTTAGAGAAAATGTCTTAGAAAAATTTTGCTAAATCACCTAAAAGAATCACAGCATTGGAAAAACGTCAGTGTTGGTTTGTGAGTGAGTTACTCTTAGGGTTTAGGCCATTTTTTTTTGTATCTGGCTGTGTTAAGTTATATTGGGGAACTGTATTGATCTTTGTTGAGGGATGGAAGTACAGTTTCAACGTCTCTTGTGTTAATTGTTTATAGAACTTTAGTTTAAATATCAATAAAGTCGTTTATAATTATAGTAATGAAAGCAGAACTGTGGCCTCATTCATGAATGTTGTTTCAGGCAGGATGGTGTCCCTGGCACAGGACATGACGGGTGACGCCAAGGCTTCTACCAGCAGTATGAATGCGAAATATATGCAGTTTTCCTTCAAATTGTTATGATCTTGTCATCAAAACTCCCTCAAAAAGGCTGAAGGTCTAACAACACAAACTAAATAGCCCAGACTCAATGATCTTACATATCTAGTGATTTGGTTAGGTTTGGCTGGTTACTGTCGCCATCGTAGGCCCACAAACTGTTGCCATTTTGATAGAACACTTCTCAAGGTACTACTACAGTCATTATTTAATCCTTTCCCACCCACTAAACATTTCTACTTTAAAACAAACACATCCTTGAGAT